GTCTGTGGGTTGTTAGTCCCATGACTGATTCCCAACAACGTGTTTGTAGGTCTCTGGAGCAGGAGCAGTCGCTGAGGAGGAAGGCTGAACTGGAGTCGGCTCAGTACAAAATCAAACTGCAGGTCGTCACCAACAAATACGGGCAAGCACAGCAGGAGCTGCAGGTATTTCATGCGTTTTTGTTTAAACACAATCAAAGCGCGTAAGTCTCCCTCTGCTTTAGTTTAGTGAAGAATGTGATGCTAATAATCTGCCTTCTCTCCCTCGTACAGGAGCTGAGAGCCCTCATAGCCGAGACGAGGAGGAACCTCTTTTCTTCCACGTCCTCGTCCTCCTCCCATGTCCTGAGCCTGTCTCAGAGGGCGGACGGCTCCAGGTCAGCTCAGTACAGCTTCTCCAAGGCGGTGTTGGTGTCTCAGGCCGGAGGCTGCAGGGTTTTATCGTACTGTGAACCTTTGAGCTGCCTGCTGGCCTCTCAGCCGTCGCCTCACACCACGCTGGTGCCCGGTGAGACGTCCTTCTTTCCACTTGACAAGTGTGATTCTTTATCGCTCACACCAGACACGAAGAACAGTTTCACCCCACATTAGTTGTGTAAATGTAGTCGCGTTAGACACGCACACATATGACAGAAGTTCCACTAATAGATCACCCGAGTTAGCGTTTGTGTGTGTGTGTTCCTCATAGCCTTCCTCTTTTCCTCCATTCAGGGTGCGGGGTAAAGAAGGTCAGTGTGGTGAACATGAGGGCGAGTCAGTACGTTCCCATCCACAGCAAACAGATCCGAGGTCTGTCCTTCAACAGGCAGAACGACAGCCTGCTGCTGTCGGCTGCATTGGACAACACTATCAAACTGACCAGGTACGAGCACGTCAGCATCTCCAGCCTCGCAGAGGGTTGAGTCGTGCGCTCCTGTGAGTTAATGTGTTGTTGTTTCGTTCCAGCCTGCTGACCAACACGGTGGTTCAGACCTATAATGCGGGTAAACCAGTGTGGAGCTGCTGCTGGTGTTTGGACAACAGTAACTACATCTACGCCGGCCTGAGCAACGGCTCTGTGCTCATCTACGACACGAGAGACACCAGCACGCACGTGCAGGAGCTCGTGCCGCTGCGCTCCAGGTACACAAAAAACATACGAAGGCAGAGCGAGTAAGACCAAAAGTTTTATTAAACCACGGTTTCACAAATTCACTTAACTTAAAAACTTTGAATTGTGGGTGTGTGATGTTTCCAGATGTCCGGTGGCGTCTCTGTGTTACGTCCCGAGGGCAGCGTCCAGCTCGTTCCCATGTGGGGGGCTCCTTGCTGGCTCTCTGGAGGGCGCGTGTTTCTGGGAGCAGGTGAACGAGGCCACCTACAGGCCTCACGTCCTGCCCCTGGAGACCTCTGGCTGCACCGACATCCAGGTGGAGACGGAGAGTCGACACTGTCTCGTCACCTATAGGCCCGGTAAGACCCTGACCCCTCAGTCGCTGATAGAACACCACAGAGTGTAGGTGAAAGATGGAGGCGATGTCACGTGATCTAAACTTTTCACCCTCTCATGGCACCTTTTGAGTAACCATCGTCTGTCCTGCAGGACGCTCCAATCCGTCTCTGCGCTGCGTCCTCATGGCGCTGACTCGAACCCCTCAGCAGGAGTCGAGCGAGCTGCCCAGCTGTTCCTGCGAGCCGGTGCAGACGTTCAATGCCGGCTCGTCCTGCAAACTGCTCACCAAGAACGCCGTCTTCAGGAGTCCGGACGGAGGCGGGACGCTGGTCTGCGCCGGGGACGAGGCCTCCAACTCCACTATGGTCAGTCCTTTTACATTTGTCTGTTATTTGAAAGAGCAAATTATTATTTTATTTTTAGATAAATGATCAGCTTTTATTTTAATTATTTTAATGAATTTAGTATTTTTGATTCATATTTGTTTTATATAAAATATTTGTGGTTTGCTTCGTTAAATTGTGTATAAATCTGAATACCATATCATTTTTGTTGGTTTTGTGTAATTTCAATTATTTTAAATAAAATTTAATAATTTAATAATTACATGTATTAAAATAAATAAATGTATTAATTAAATGTATTAAATTAAAGAAATATATTAAATGATTTTATTTATTAAAT